CAGCTTCTTTTAACCCCTTCAGCATATCATTCTATGCATTCCTCCGTTCTGTAATAATGAGTTCCATGTTCTAACTGTTTTGTGGGGTGTTTGGAGTCCAACCCTGTTTGGTCTCCCAAAGGAGTCCTGCTGATGTAGAGATAGGGCTAAATGAATGAGCCTCTGAAGTTTGTTGTAATGAAACTATGAAATCAGTACTCGTTTGTTAGGGATTTTGCTAAAAGCTTGAAACTACTGCAGCTCAGAGCAGGGAAGTCTGCTACTGAACTCTCATGTTTGTATTGTTAATAAACATTGTTTTGAAGCATGCCTTTCATATGAAGAACAGAAGAATCATACTAAAACAGCTGGAACTTTCTGTATGGATCCTTCTTTTTATTTACAGCTTAATCTAAATATACATTCTCTCAGCACACATTGTTAAAGCTTCCATTCTCTTCCATTTCCCTTAATTGCATATCTGTGGCAACATTGTTTTATTATTATAGATTCTTCTGATATTAATCCCATTACTCTACAGTAAGAAATCTCCAGGTCAAAACATTTCTTCTGAAATTTTTATTGGATTTATTAGTGATGATATTATATGTGGTTACCGATAGTTTGTTGGTGAACACAACCGCGAAAGCTGTCTGATATAATGTCTACATGTGATCAGACTAAGATCTCATCGAACTTTTTTCTTTGCATAAACCCCAAGGCGTAACTCCATACTCATTGAATGGTATTTGGGTTAATGAATGCTGTGCTACCTTACAGTGAACTGCTAATGATCTTCTAGAAATCCAAATTACATAAGGCAAACACTTCTAGCTCCCCTCATTTATTTTCACTCTGCTCGTGACACTATGGCGTAACCAAATGTATTTTGCAACTGTTCCACAAGGTCAAAAGGTAAACTCCCTGAAGTTAAATGTCAGTCTGAGAAGAAAAGTATGTTGAGTTTTAATGCACAAAAATAAAGACTTGAACTTCAGCCACAACAACTGGAAGCTATCAGAAACTTTATACGTCCCATGCAGCAGAGAAAGTCTGCAGGATTTTTTGGGGGCTTGTGTGAGCTTCTTAGAAGGTTCTTTAAACACAATTCTTCAACGAACTTAAATATTTCCTGGCATGGTGATTGCCAAGTGGTGAAAACAAGCGCAATGACAATGAAAGGTTAAAGGTAGAAACAGCCAAAGAATCACCATTGCCATGAGGACTTCTGGCCAAGATAATCAGATATTAGAAATCTGGAATAAAATCAAACTAGGATATTAAAAAAAAACAGCTGGCCAGCCAACATCAGACAAAATAGAAGTTATCGATATTTCAGATGTGTAGCCTTCACCAGAACATCTGCATTCCAGCTGATGCTGTAGGGAGGTTCTTGCTACAGCAGCTGGCTGAAGTTAGGTCTGTGTATCTTGTTTAACTTTCCATTCAATGATGTGACCAGTCATGCTACTGCAACCAATGAGCAGAACATACAATAAAGCAGTACACACAAAACAGAAGTTAGAACTCAGCCAGCTGACAGAGTATCTGACAAATACTCATCGATAATTGGGCCTGTGAAGAAATGGTCTCAATAACATCCTAATTAAAGACTGATCATCTATATTCAGACAATTTCCCTAGTGAGTTTCTGGGCCAAACTGAACAAAGCGATGTCTAAATACCAACCCCTAGTGAAATTGCATACCTCAGCCAGGACAGAGCGGATATAGAAGCTATATTTAGACTCAGTGTCAGTTGTCCATAGGGACTCAATAGGTGTGATTTTGAAAAATGACCAAAACAATAATAAAGAGGGAAAAATTAGAGCATGAGTGAAAGCTAGCCAGAAATATCAAAACAGATAGTAAGAGTTTCTAGGTGTATGAAGTAGTAAAGAGTGGAGAACATGCCAGTACAAATGCATGCCAGTACAATGGAGACAATGTAACCATAGTCAATTTTCACAAAAGCCCATCTGGTTAACTGTATGAAATGAAATCTGCCATTATTACCTGACCTGGCTCACATGTGATTTGAGAAATTTTGTTGGGTGGCATGAGTGGAGAAATAAGGAAATAGTAGATGAATTGAACACATATTTTGCATCAGTCTTCACTATTGGGGAAACAAGTAACATCCAGAAGCAGCGATATGTCAGGAAATGGAGGGAGGGAGCAACTCTAGAAAATTGCAATCAGCATAGAGGTGATGCCGAATAAATTGTTGGAGTTGTCTTATGAGGAGGGGTTGAGTAGGCAGTGCCTATTCTCTTTGGAGTTAAAAAGAATGACAGGTGATCTTATTGAATCACATAGGATTCTTTGGGGCCTGACAAAGTAGTTTCTGAGAGATTGTTTCCCTCACGGGAGAGTCTAGGGTCATAGGGTATAATTTCAGAGTAAAGGGTTATCCAATAAAACAGAGATGAGAAGGAATTTCTTCTCTCAAAGGGTAGTGAATCTGTGAAATTCATTAGCACAGAAGCCTGTTGAGGCCAGGTAATTAAGTATATTCAAGGCTGAAATTGACGGATTTTTAATCAGTAAAGGAATCAAAAGTTGTAGGGAAAAGGTAGGAAAGTAGAGTTAAAGATTATCAGATCAACAATGATCTCATTGAGTGGTGAAGAAGACTTAATGGGCAGAATGGCTTCCCCGAGGTCCTACATATTCAACTCTTACAGTCTAACTGGTTTGGGGACGCATTTTGGAGATAGCATAACAAACAAGTGCAAAAAATGGATCCAGAAAATTACCTCAACGTAAAGTATGAAATTAGAGCAATATGTATAGGTCGAAATAGCAACAAACAAATTTATAACTGATCTGAGAGAGCTCTTTGTGTAAGTGTTGTATAAGGAAATGGTTCTGAAGGGATTAATATTTCTGTTATGTTGACTCCATCCATTCTACTAATCTTACACAAAACCTGTGGTGCAGACCGTGAGTTCCACTCTAGCTTTCAGAAGGAGCAGATGTAACTGGACCAGTTCCTTGAGGTCCTCGTAATTGGTATTGTTATGACCACATGTTGAAGGGAGTTTCAACTTTCCAGGTCTTTTTAAACCACTCTCAGTCGATTGCTCCAATATAATTATTTACTTTTAACACACAGCTATCAAATATCATTTTAAGATATTGTTAACTAGATCCAGATGAAGTAGGTAACTACATGACTTGATGGGCCGAATGGCCTAATTCTGCTCCTATATTTGATGGTCTAAGAATGCTCAAAACAAAGACTGAATTCCAGGTAGAAAAATTAAAGTCCTGAAATTATATATTGAAAGATGTTGGATGATGTGTTGAGAGATATTTCATAACAGTTGAATTTAGTTCATTCAAACCATTTGTAGTACATGGTTTACTTGAGTGACATAAAAAGAGATTTTATTACGTGCTAACCCTGAGTAAAAATAATAAAAATGTGACAATAAAAGGAAGTGTGTCTGCTTCAGGTTCAGACAGGAAGAAAAAAGGTTATGCAGTTTAGAAGTACTTAGCATTCTTGAGGTGTTAGACTTTTAACCTGAGAAGATTCTAGAACTATTTCAGTTGTCAGTAAATTGTTGTTTCTTCAATTTGCTTTTTCACTAGGTGTTGTCTTCTATGATAACGAGTAAAACAGGCAGAGAGAGTTTTTCAGTTCTTGCTTAAAAATTAATTTACCTTCTCTCTACTCTGCTTCTCAAAAACAGCTGCTGAACTGTTGTTCTTGTGTATAGCCCCAAGTCTGGCTCCATTGTTTTTCTAAGTTAAACAATTGCAGCAACATTTACAATGCAATGTGTTCACTTACCATATAAAAATGAATTTAAACAAGTGACGCAAATTTACAGTTGCTGGTTCAGTTGCCTGTTTTAAAAGTCTTTAGAAAACAATGATAACTTCATTATGAACAGATTTATTTATTCCACATTGGTCTCCTGGACTAACCTCAAACCATGATCAGGTGGTCCTGTCAGCTATATTAGGTCAGTATTTGTTCATTTTTTAAAAACCATTTGGTCCATGAAAGTTCTCAGGTATAACAATTAAATGATGGAAGTTAACATATAATCCATATTTACACTATCACGACAGTGTTATGCAATAAACCTTCTTGTTATCTGAAAACAATACCTCTTCTGATAGTCTACAGTGATAATTTCTTCATCAATCACTATATAGACCCAAGGTAATGGCAGATTGGTGGCAGCAAACCATGTCTGAAAAACTGTGTACCTTATACATTGGATGCCAGCAGTCATCATCTGAGAAAATACTACAGCAATACATCGGCCGTGATCAAATGGCACAGCAGATTCAATGGGCCAAAGGCCTAATTTTGCGCCTATGTTTTATGGTCTAAGAGTGATCGACACCTAGACTGAATACCAGGTCGAAGAATTGAACTGAAATTATATATTGAAAGGAGTTGGATGATGTGTTGAGAGATATTTATGAATAGTTGAGTTTAAAAGAGTCAAACCACCTATGTTTATTTTGTGAGCTCATAAAAACGATTCAAACATACAGATGCTGTGATATTAGTAACTATTCAGTCAAAAATATAAGCTTTTGAAAATGCAAAGCCTCACTAAAGAACATATGTTCGTAACAAGTGTCTTTAAATCATTTAAATCTGTTGTACAAATAGCTTTAAAAGACTTTCTTTATTCAGAGGATTAATGGTAAAAGCACATTCTGAATTACTTTGTTTGGAGATGATGGAAAAGGGGTCTTTTCCCAAACTTCTGACTCAAAAGTAGAGTGCTATGCAATACACCACAAGACAATCCCCTCTCCTTTCTTGCTCCCACTCAAACATCTTCTTTGTTTAAGGATAGAAGTTAGTTATTTTATCATGTAAATACATAAAACCTCATAAGGAGCTGTTTTGTCTTAATGTAGGCATTGCAGGTCTATTTTAAATAAACTAAAGCCTTTGTCAAAATTACACAGCTAAATTTAATGATAATGTTTCCAACAGTAATTTCTATCTTAAAGCAATTAACACACTTAATGAATAGGCAAACATTAAGTTCAAAATGCTTTTATTTTGTATAACCATTGCTCAAAAGCATAGCTTGAACAGAAAGCGTTTCCGGGGGAATAAGATCTTTTTCCACATTTTAGGGAACTCCAGAGAAGAGAATATCTGAATAAACATTTCTGGCAGCAACTGTAACTTGCACAAATTCTTCACTTTCCTTTGCAACAACCATAGATTTGGGGCAGGAAACAAGACAGAGGCCAGAAACAAAGCAAGCTGAACTCCTGGGAGTCAGCACAAAGACTTTGTAAATTTAGAAAGAATTAGAAGGAACCCTATAAAAGTAGCATTGTATTGTGTTACAATGAGTAAACCTGACTCAAGAATGCAGTCAGACAGAAAGGCATCAGAATTCCCAATTACAGCTTGTTACCGTACTTGTGAAATATTTGGAAAACAATGTAGAATATTCAAGGACAAAATCAATAGTTGGTACAGATCACTGTGTAAGAAGGAGAAATCAGTACCATTATGCAGATTTATGCTTATAATGACCGGCTTATAGAATATACCTGTTCCCTGGGGCATTCTAGATTGATTTCTGAAAGTAATTCAGTTTTTATTCAGACCACCCTGTTTCAAATTTCTCTAAATAAATCTGGCTTGTCCCTCCCACCCCAGACATTGATACTGTTTAATATAACTGAATTTATATCAACAATAATTGCAGTATATATGCTGTTGTCAGTAGCTTCGATTACATGATATTAATATAATCTTTTTAAATGTGTTCCAACTGGTTTAAATGCTTTCATGCATATTCTTCAAACAAAAAAAAAACCTTTGCATTTTGGTATTCTTCACTCAAAGATTTTCCACTGGGATTATCCTCAGGGTTTATAAAAATCATCTCATCACAGCTTTGAGTGGCACTGAGCATCTTGCACACAATAATTTGAAACATGGTCAATATCATTGCAAACACATTGTGCACACAGCTAGATCTCCTAAGCTGCTGTGGGATAGATGATTGATTGACCTGTTGTGGGCCAGGGTTTTAACATCTGATTATTGTTGCAGTGTTGCTAATGTCTGTACAAAGAGGGGATTGAAATCAACAGCTCACCTCAATACAGCACTACAGTGTAAATCTTAGGTTTTTGGGTCACAAGCTGGTCGAGGACATAATTTTTTTGACTTAAAAGTAAGACTACTTACAACTGATCCAAATGAGCACTTTGAAAGGCATTCCTGCCCCCACAATTTATAAAGTTTACAAACTGAAAGAATTAAAGCTTGATTTTTGTTTTACATGATTAACACTTAATGAGAAAATATATTTTCTATTTTTTTTGACATTATCAACATATGTTTATGTTTTGCAAGAAGCAGACCAAAACGCCAAGAGATTACCTTCTCACCTAAACATTCTGACTATTATTAATGTTTTGTGGGTCTGCCATTGACTGCTATTATGTTTATTTTTCCTGCTAGGTTTCCTTACCCTGTGCACTGGGATAGATGCATCATTTCCCCCTTGGCGCCAAGGCTTCGATGTGGAATGATGCATCTGTCTTGCAGTGAGTGAGAACTCTTTACTGCTGTGGCATTTAAACTGCATATCTTGTTCTACCTCTCCGCTCCAAAACTTTGCCAATTCCTGCAAGTTCTTTGCTATTATTCAGAATACAGGATTCTGCAAAACTCAAGTGTGCATATGTAATTTGTGGATTAAACTTAAATCCCACCAGTTTAGCTCCAACTAAGACCCTGGTGGGAGACCAAAAGATTTCTCAGGGAAAGCAGCGATTTCCATTAAACTCCCACTGAACTTATGACTGGGTCGGAGGGTTCAAATAATCTTGGTTTGTTCTGTAGTAACTGCACCTTTGAGATTATAAGAAGTTGACTGAGTTCAAAGCTTGCTTATTTTATAGAAGCTGTTGGGTAGCCAGATTCATGTATATTACTAGGCAAAGCCTGCAGGTTGCATTGTCACAATGGCAACTTTTAAACCTCATCAAAACTGCAGGATTGAAACTGTGATGCGAGTGCTCAGCTCTTTTAGGTTCTTTTCAAGTTTTAAAACTTAAGGTTGACGTGACATATCTAGACGAACGGCTAATAAAGTGGTTGTCACAGAGAACCTTAAGACACAGGTCTCCATGTATTCCTATATAGATATTCAGCTCGTAAATCATATCGTAAGGCTGGTTACTGGGTAATATACTGTGCATGATGGCAGTCTGCATGGAATACATAAGGGTATCTCAGTTTTCTGTAGTTGCATCAGCACTGAGGATCATCACATCTTCGTAGCCTTTACATCATGGATTTCCTGCAAAATAATGGATGCAGTCATTAGCAACTACTCTAGTACCAAATTTGTTGTGTTTAATGGAACTGAAACATCTCAAGCTGCAGTAACTTTAATTCCCTTTAGTTCTGATTATGCGCTAAATCAGCTTTCTTCAAGCAATGGAATTTAAACTGTGATACTCTGGGTATAATTAGCGTAAAGCATGGCACTTTCACCGAGGCAGTAACCCCAGAGCCCTTTAGCAGAATTGGACTACATCCCCAGCATAGTAGAGCTTTCAGAAACCTGCAGTACTGAGCTCCTGACACCAGGGGCGCACTCCCCACCTGGCCTCTGCCAAGCCTTTTGAGTAGTTTTTTCACTGGAGGGTAGGAGGTTGAGAAGTGACCATACAAAGGTTTATAAAATCATGAGTGGTATAGATGAGTTAATGGTAGGTGTCTTTTCCCTAAGATGAGGGATTTCAAGACTCTGGGGGCACAGTTTTAAGGTGAGAGGAAAGAGATTTAAAAAAGATATGAGAGGCAAATCTTTTACAGACAGGATGGTTGGCGTGTGGAATGAACTTCTGGAGGAAGTGTTGGATGTGGGTACAATTACAACATTTAAAAGACACTTGGGTAAGTGCATGAATAGGAAAGGATTGGAGGGATATGGGCCAGGAGCAGGCTGGTGGGACTAGTTTAGTTTGGGATTATGGTTGGTTTGGACTGGTTGGACCGAAGGGTCTGTTTCCGTGCTGTATGACTCTATGACTCCAGGCCAATAGTGAAACTTAATCAGGTTGCTATTATATTTAAATTTCTCCCTCCATTTCCATAGCAAATCTGGCCGTTAGGACCCAAACCAGTATTTAAGACAAATGAAAGCGTGTTTCACAATGTATTTTTCCCATTGGTATATCATTTCAGTTCACCCAACCACGTCTGGGCAGGCATGCTGAAAGTTAATTCCAGCAGAAAATCCAATGGTCAGTCTCGACCAGAAACCGATAGAAAGGATAATATAGACAGCTTCCCATTGACCAAAACGTCTCGGCAAAAGATCAAAAATTTCAGTTATTTGCTCTCATGCAGTGAAATATGTTTCCTTGGACCTGTGGGGTCCCATCAAGAACTAATTTGAACAACTAACTGATGCATACATATCCCAAACACAAGCTTCAGATTCTCCTCATATCCTCAGATAAAATATTATTGCTTATTGTCTTAAAGCCTTTCCTCTTGATGATATCTGCCTCAGTTGTCTTTTTGGAAGGGTGAGCGTGGAGTACAAAGGTAGGAAAGCCTTGCTATAACTGTAGAGGACATTGGTAAGACCACAAACTAAAGTACTGCATACTGTTTTTGTCTCCTTATTCAAAGAGGATATAGTAGCTTTGAAGAAAGTTTGGGGAAGGTAGGTGAAGGGGTTGTCTTATGAGGAAACATTCAGCAGATTGAGTCTAAACTCATTGGAGTTTAGAAAAATGAGAGGTAATCTTACTATAATAGAATAGATCCTGCAGGGACTTGGAAGTATATGTTGGCAGACTTAATGGGCCAACAGGTCTCTTCCATACTCTATGATTCTATGATGTGATGGGATGGATGCTGAGAACATTGACCTGACAGAGGATTCTAGAAGTATGGACCACATTTTCAAAATAAGGAGTCTCCCATTTAATCCACAGGGCAGCGGATTGAGGAGGGGTCATTGAATATATTCAAGGCTGAGTTTGACAGATTTCTGATTGACAATGGAAACAAGAACTATGATTGATAGGCAATAAAGTAGAGTAAAGGCCATGATTAGCTCAGCCTTGATTTATTTGAAAGGCAGAGTGTGCTGGAGAGACCAAATGGTCTATTCCTGTTTGTTTTTTTTTGTTAATTCTGGGCAACACTAATCATCAGGTCATAAACCATCGAACTTCTCTGACTCATAATGTTCTGGCTTCAAATGGAAACTTGCACGTAGAATCATTGATCAATTCTTCTCAAAATACAAATGAGAGTTAAAGTTCATATTCTCTAATCAGGACACTAAAAGAGTGATTCTTAAACTGAAGTTGGGATTATTGCCATCAGCCATTTATTGTTCACCATTTAATGTATTTCTACATGATAATGATTTTGAAATAGAAAAGGAGAAGGAATAGACTCAAATGTATATGATTAAATGAGGTTTGCTGGGACAAAGAGATACAAATTTAGAATCTCTGTCTTCAAATGAAAACAAAATGCTCCATCAAACGTCTCACATCCGAAATACTATTGTTTCATTGCCAACTCCTGTGACAAAATCAGTGCAGTGTGATATAAGTGCTAGATGTCAGGGAATGCACTAGATATGCAACTTTAAATATACCATAAATAGATGTTCTGCTTGAAAAAGAAAGTTTAATATAAGTTCACCCAATAACAGGAGGGACATTACATTTGTAAATAATTTTAAGAGAATCACATGGTTTTGTACCCTTACAGATTTCTGTTTCTGAAACGAAGCCATCTTGTTTTAGGATGAATGCAGATCTGGTCACCATTGTTCTTCAAAGTGGCTCTGTCAAAACAAAGAGCAAAGTGCAGTTTAAGTTTACTACAGGGGAAAACAAATCAATGATATATCCATGGCCACAGTGTATTCGTGATGTGGAGGTGCCAATATTGGACTGAAGTGGATACATTTAGAAATCACACAACACCAGTTTATAGTCCAACAGGTTTATTTGAAATCCCGCAAGCTTTCGGAGCTGCACCTGACGAAGGGGCTACACAAGTTTTTTGATTTCAAATAAACCTGTTGGACTATAACCTGGTGTCCTGTGACTTCTGACATGGTGTCATCATAAGCCTCACAACAGAGAGCACATGTACCTGAACAGTCCGAGAATATCAAACCAAAAGAAATAGGAGAAGGCTGTTCAGCCCCTTGAGCCTGATCTGCTACTCAATAGGATCATTGTTGGGAGCATGCAGGGAGCAAATCCATCTTTCATTCTTATCAACTTAGTCAAGCATATGAGAGAAAGTCCCAATGAGCAGCCAAGTGGAATTTCAATAGAGATATGTTGGAGCTGAGGGGAACTCCCAGATCCAGTCAGCTTTGTTTTGTTTCCATACTCAGTAATTCCCCAGCTGACAAGTCAACAGAATTGGGTTCAGAGCAATAACATTTTGCTATGGAATGAAAACACCTCGCTTCATTTTGTTAATTCCGCAAAACATTGTGGATAAGAGATTGCAGGTTGCAGATCTCATTTCACACAGGTCACGGTCCCATTACAATCAACCTGTACATTACATTCCCAATGGGATGGCCAACATAGAAATATGAAAGGGCAAGACATGTAAAGAACTGCCAAGCGGTTCTGAGGAAGGGTCACTCGACCCGATTACGTTAACTCTGATTTCTCTCCACAGATGCTGCCAGGCCTGCTGAGCATTTCCAGCAATTTCTGTTTTTATTTCTGATTCACAGCATCTGAATTTCTTTCATTTTTGTTTTTAAAGGAATGCCAAGGCTGTCCTATATTTTCATTTACTGCTGGACACCTCTTGCAATCAGCAGGGCGATGGGAGCATGTGACACTGACTGCAATTTCAACAGACCAGTGACATTTTTGTGTACAGATTGCCCCAAGCACACCCGACAATTCTCAATCCCTCGCCCCTGACAACGTTCACAGCCTCACCAATCTACAGAACCCATACTCTCCCTGCAAGAATGCATGACTCCCCTTCACCTGGCAATGCAACATAAACAGTCACCCATCTCCCAACAGTGCAACATAGACTGT